ACGCTCAGCCCAAGTCGCAGAACTTGTTGCTCTTGCCCGCGCCTGTACCTTGGCCAAGGACAAATTTGTTACCATCTACACAGACTCCCGATATGCCTTCGGGGTGGTTCATGATTACGGACAACTATGGAAACACCGAGGATTTCTCATGTCGGGGGGGGGGGGCGAGGATTAGTAATGGGCCTTTTGTTAATGCTCTTCTCTCTGCATTTCAGCTTCCTTCTGCTATTGCCATTGTACATTGTATTGCTCACCAGAAACCTTATGATGATGTTACAAGACGAAATGCTTTGGGTGATGTTACTGCCAGACAGGCGGCACTTTCCAGGTCTCTGGCTCCATTTAATCCTGTTTTCTTTATTTCACAGTCCCCCTCTCTGCCTAATACCCTCCAAGATTTAGCTCTCATGCAGGATTCAACCTCCGAGCATGAGAAAGACCGATGGAGGCAGGATGATTGTTCTTTACATCCTGATGCCTTGTGGCGCTCCCCAGACGGCCGCTTGGTGGCGCCCAAGGTCTTGCTCCCCTATCTTACTCGCGTGTCCCATGGAATGGCGCACGTGAGCAAAGGGGGGATGATAGCATCAGTGCTGCAACATTGGTATGCCCTAAATTTTTCCATAATGACGCAGCAGTACTGTAACTCTTGCCCTATCTGCCTAGCCGACAACAGTGGCAGACCAGTACGAGCAAAACCAGCTGCGCACCCCACCCCGTGGGGACCCTTTGTGAATATCCAGATTGATTTTATCAATATGCCGAAATGTTGTTCTTATGAATATGTCCTTGTTTGTGTTTGTATGTATTCCGGATGGATAGGGCCGATTCCATCACAGTGGCTAAAAGATTGTTAAAAGACTTTATCCCCCAGTTTGGTCTACCTGTCTCTATCAACAGTGACGACGCACCCATTTCACAGGCCGGATTATGCAACAGGTTTGCAAGGCCCTTAACGTCACCCAACACCAGGCACTAATGAAATGTGTCAGGTCTCTTTATACACAGGTGAAAGAAGCACTACCCAAGGATCCTGAGCAACCCTGCCATTCGCTGGAACCAGGAGGCTGGGTCTACATAAAGGTCCATCTGCGAAAGACCGCCCTGGCCCTGTGCTGGAAAGGCCCGTACCAAGTCCTGTTAACAACCAACACCGCTGTGAAGTGCCAAGGACTGACTGCCTGGACCCATGCTTCGCACTGCCAAAAGGCTCCTCCGCCACAAGATATCTCTCCGATTAATAAGCGGGATATCACTCCTTCTGGTGCTTCTGTTCCTTCTGCACAGCAGAAGAAAAGGACAAGGGGAAGTGCTGGTAACCTTTCCCTTGTCCACTGACAAAACTACCATGCATTTGGATTTTGCTGAAAGACCCAAATCATTACAGGGTGATGTGCTAGTAACCTCTCCCCTGTATAATGCTAAACCACGACTGTTCCAAAAGAGAAAAAGGAACACTCGCACTGCTGAAACCCCCAAGGTCCAGGAATTCCTTACGACAAAGGACATTAAAAATTGACCCTGGTGGAGGAAACAGAGTATTGTACATTGGCAGGGAGGGACTTGTGGGAGCCATGCTTGGGGATGTGGTATTGATTGGGTCTTGGGGTTTATTCCACAGGCTGCGCCCTGTGTTTTCGGGCAAGTACCATCAGGATGTACTGCCCTCCCTAATTGGCTTCCAGAGAATGAATACCAAAAACGCCTTGCTGCCACAAACATTAACCCCACCATCCCCTCCACCTCTGCCACCACCCCTGAAATTTACCCAAATACAGATAATACTGTATATTCTACTGAAACCCAATGGCTCAGACCTTCACATCTTAGTAATTTACTAAAATTTTGTTCAGAAAAATTATTTTTCAAAGTTCAGAATCGTTCATATGAGCGAACAATTGAGTGGAAAACACATGGGTCGGTGGAAATAGAAATATATGATATCACTACAAATGAGCCCCAGGAATCAGAAATTGAGATTGATGGGTTCTATGACGGGGTAGATATGATGGCCGTTCCTGGAATTTGCAGTATGGTAGATGAAAGAGACCCTTACTGTTATTTGGTCACCCAATTAGTGAATAATCAAATGAATACCCAAAGAGTTTGTTCGGACACCGGAAAGTTTACCTGTACTGAAATAATTCCAGTAAGTAAGAATTTAACCTGCACCATATTGCAATATACCCCTTCCTATGCTATTAATGTTAATGCCTCTCGAAAGTACATAAAAGTGTTTAGCCAACAGATGTGGTATGGTTCTTCACCAAAGAGGGATGTGTTAGAATATCGTTGGACTCTGATTAATGCTACTCTAGGAACTATAAAATTCACACTGCCCTTATCCAGCTTCCAAGTCACCTCTACATACCCTAATTGCTTGAAAGGGGCTGCCATTAGGTTAGCACAGCAAAGGGCCTGGGTTTCCTCTAGAAGAAAGAGGGACATGGCCGGACACTTATGGGATGGTGCCAACAGCGCAGCTGCAATTTGGAATATTTATAAAGGCCAACAACATGAAGAAAAATTAGGACAATTGGAAAAGGCCACAGGTCTTATTACTGGAGCACAGTTAACTCACGTGCAGGCTGGAGTTGGTGAATTGCGTGTTATTTCTGCCCTTAGTTCAGTGACCCAGAAACTGCTGACAACAATGGTGCTAAATATCACTGAGGCTGGGAAGGCCTTGCAGTGGGATCTGGCATGTTCAGAAATTCAGGATTTTCTGAATGACCAGCTGATGGCCATTCGGAGTGATCTTGAGCATCAGACTTGGCCCACTACCCTTACAGATACGTCAGGAGTATCATCTGACCTATGGCCCTGGAGACATAATTGGAGATTTTCTGGGTGGAAGTGCAGACATTCGCAATGCTCCTTCCAAGCATACGGACCCATTGGAGGGGTGTGGGCTTCCACATACCGAATCCTGCCGGGTCCGTGGGGAGGATGCATGTGGGATTGGGTAATTCACCAAGACATTTGGGAAATTAAACTACCTGGTGTGCCTAACTGATTTATAGTCAGTGCTCCTGGAATAACACCCAACATTTGGATAGGGATAGGGAGTCAATGGACACTCTGGCCGTTAGAACCCCCACAGCTCCAGTGTGTACGCAAACTGAAGCCTGGGGAAGTTGTCACTGTTCATGACAAAGTTTGTTGGGAGGGTAAGGGACAAGGAACTACCCTAACAGGACACCTGCTTTTCCAAACAAATAATAGCTGTGTGTATATTAAGGCCACCACTTTGCAAGACATACAGTTTAATCTCATCACTGCTGCAGGCAATAATATTATTTATTAGCCTGTGGATAAAATTTTACAATCAGCCCTTAAATTTCAGATACCTTTTAATTGGACTGCCTTAGTACCTGATCGGTTCCAAAATTTGCTTTCACTCCTACTAGAGGTCCAAAAAATTTCTGAATTTCAAGGGAAAATTCATATGCTCCAAAATATATATCAGATTGAAAAGAATGCTTTTCATACAGCCTATAGAGTGTCTACTTTATGTACTAAGTATGATGTATTGTGTTTTGTGACTAAGGCTATAAAACAACCGCATCCTATTATTACAATGGGGATGTTAATGCTTTTATTATTGTTGTTTAGCCTGGGATTATGTTGTTGTTGTTGTAAAGGACGTAATAATAATAGCACCTTCCATGTTCATACCCATAACCATGCATTGTCATTGCCTTCAACCAAAACCCCAAAGGCTGAGCCATTTGATTTAGAATCAGAAATACAAAATTTAATGAAAATGGAAGTTTAGGCCAAGGTGGTGCCAAAGAGGCACCAAAAGGGAGATTGTAAAGGAAAAATAAGAGTAGGCCTAAACTCTGGTCAAGAAAACTGTACGTGGTCAAAGGGCAGAAGGAGAAAGTGAGGAAAATTCCGAAGTAAAACAATTGCAACAGCCAGTCTTAAAAAACATGTAGTTGCAACAGCAAATGTTAGGAAAGCCATTAACCGCAAAAGAACAACCTGTTAATAAACAGGAAAGCTTTTTTTTTTCTGTATTCCTAATAAGGGAAAAATAGTAATGAGGAAGTGTGTTTGACTAGATGTTGCCTTTGAACTCCAAAAGCTTCCATGTTCCTGTGTTAGGGAGAGCAGTCAGGCTGGTTGTGTCTCTCTGCATGCTTGTAATAAAGGAGCCCAAGGCTGTTCTGATCCAAACACAACGCGTGGTAAATTTTTCCACAACACTGCTTTTCCTAACTGTTGCACAACTTTTATATAGTGTGTGGACCACAACTCATGGAGAATCATGAACCTTTCTATTCATAATAGCACTGGCCATCTCCCCTCCACATCCCTGTGGTAACTACAGCAATTACTCACATGGAGAAAGTGAAATTAGGAAAGTGTTTAACGTCTTTTCAGTTTATTGAACGCAGTTTAGCAGCTACAAATAAAGACAAACTATGCTATATGAACCAGCCAGCTCCCAGCAGAGCACCGTTTGGGATCCTCTGCTTTACATCTATGGGATGACCAAACACTTGCATAAATGATACTTAGGTGAGTTGCCGGGTTTATATAGTCTCTTAAATCTAACAAGATTTTTTCAAAGACTTTTTGATTTAAGAGCAAAGTTTGCCTCACAAACTGCTCAACAAGTTCTAGCGTAAAACTCTTCCACGAAGAGGGCGGTTGGCTTGCAATGTAGGTGCTAGTGAAAATGAGACAAATAACAGACACTGGACAAAACATTTGCTAGGATGCCTCAGTTCCAAGGCCCTGCCCCTGCACGCAGTTCCCGCCACGCCCCTGCACTAAGAGTTCCCGTGCCCCGCCCCCTGTTCATTGGCCCAGCCCCAAGCAGAACTCTCAGGCACCGCTCTTTTTGCCTGGCCCCGCCCTCTAATCGAAATCCCGGGCCCCGCCCCCTGCGGCCTGGCCCCGCCCCTCGCCGCGGAGCCCACCCGTCCCGCTGGCCCCGCCCCGCGTACTCGCGCAGGCGCCGGGGGCCGAAGCCAGGCGGGGAGCGCGGCGCGCGCAGGCTGGGAGCCGGAGCGGCCGGTGGCGGGTCCGGGTAGCGGCCCCTCCCCCCGCTGCCGCCATGAGCTTCCTGATCGACTCCGGCATCATGGTCACCTCCCAGGTACCGCCCTGGCTCGGGCCCCGCGCGAGCAGGCGGTGCCGCAGCGGCGGGGCGGGCGCTGACCCGGACCCGGCGGCTCCGGGGGCTGTTTGACTGGGACGCCGAGGCCCTCCCCGCTCCCCATCGCTGGGCCCCGCGCCGGCCTGGCGGTAAAGTGGCGGCGGGGGCGGTGCTACAGCCCTGACCCCAGCTTCGTGTGACGCGCTTCCTCCCCCTCCCCCCACAGCGCTCACCAAAGGGGGTGGTCCCGGGGCCCCCAGCGCCCCCCCCCCCAAAGGTCTGTCACATCTGTGTGAAGAAAGTGAAACGGGAGGGGGGCCCCCAAATTTCTCTCCACGCTCCCCAAATCCTGCCCTGTCACCGGGCACGCGCTGCGCTGCCTCTCACAAGCCAGCAGAATCCGCCCTCATGCCTCGAGGGGACTATTCCGGGCTCACTGCGATCCCCAGGGCTATGGGGTGAAGGGGCTCCCCATTTATACAGTGGCCCAGTGTGAGTGCAGTTTCACTGCTAGCTTAGACTACGGCTCCCTCCCCTTTTGCTCGTGCTTGTGGTTACCAACCCTTTCAGTGCCATGACTCTATGCTTCAGCAGGAAAAAACAATCAGGACTTCCCCCTTGTAACCACGAGAGAAGGTGGTTGTAACCTTCCCTGGACCTATTGATGGCCCCTGTTGAGAACCTTCTGCTGTGATGTATAGTCCACATCAGAATAAGACTGTAAAAATCTCAAAATCAATCAGGATCTTTTAATTACTAAAACAATATTCAGCTCAGTAAACTAATCTCAGGATTGTGATTCCAAGCAAGATGGGGTGACAGGCTATTGAGAATTGAATTCCTATAACCCAGCATAATTTGCACAAATCCAAATTTGCCATGTATAGGAACCCATGGAAAAGTTCAGCCTGCTGTCCTTTGAACTGTCTGTCTTGGTTCTATCATTGTCCAGAATGCTGGTTAATCATGGCCTCTCCTTCCTGCTTACAGCTTTGAGGAATCTGCTACAATTTTGCTTTCCAAGTTTGAAAGATTTTAATCTGTTTCTAGAAAGTATTTTTCGACAACTCTTGGAGCTTAGACACATCGTTCTCCCTTGATCCACCTGCAACCCAGGACCATCTCCATCTCTTTCATTTCCTCCAGTTTCCATCAGTCATCTTTCATTTAGTCTCTACTGTAGACATAGCTATCTCACTTGGAGCCTTATTAACCTCCGGTGTCTCTTGCCATCCTGTCCTTGATCCATTTTAACTGAAATAACATTGCCCTGTTAGAGCCAAAACAATGTTATCTGCAGGGGGGGTACAACCCACTTACTTGAACCTACCTCACTCGCTAGTTACTTGTCCTATCTTCTTTCTCTTTCCCCCCCCTTATCCAGGTTCTTAAAAAATAGTGTCCTTTCCTCTATGATTACCTCTCTCGGTACAACTTCCCTGACTGTTTTCAGTCTGGTTTTTGATCGTTTCATAGTGCTGCGTCTGTCTTCTGCATAGTAATGACTTGTGCATTGTCTCTGTTGACACATCATTTTCTTCTTATCCTGCTTGATTTCAGTGTGGCTTTTGGACCGGTTGATCACTCTGTTCTCCTTAAGCAAGTCTCCCTTTCACTCACTTTCTGATTTGATTTCTTACCTTCTTAAATTGCTTCTCTTTCATTTCTGGTGGAGGCTTTGCATCATCTTCAGAAACATCAAGGTGCGTACTTAAATTAGCCTATGTAATTGTGCCAATTTATTACTATTATTCTTCTCTTCTGACCCCTTTATTATTGGCACAATCACTTGTGGTGTCTTAATTAGACACTAAACTCTTAAGATTGTGTCTTCCTGCGTGTTTGTATAGTGCCAGGAACAAAGGAGCCCTAATCTTGATATTTTTAGCTAAAAATTGATCTGTATTGATCATCTTCTAGTTTGTATTTCTCTGCTCCCTTTGTAGCCGCTACTTGCCAGCTTCTGCCTTGGAATCACTTTATGTAGGTAAAACCTATAATACTTCCTTAACTCATTCCCCAAACCTTCTGCTTGATGGTAATAAGTCTTACCTTTTTCTTACCCTTTTTCTATCAGTCACTTCAAAGACTAAAGTCCTTCTTGTCCCGATTTCTCTGACTGCTCTCAATCACCCGCCTTAGTTCATACTTTTGGTTTCATAATTTTGGTGCCAAGGCAAAAATGTTTGGTCTTCCTTGGCTTATACTTTCCAGATCTTTGTCTGTAAATTTCATTCTTCTATTTCAGGAGCATAGTCAGAATTTGTCCTCATGTTGCTCATTTACTGCTTGGTACTGTTTACTTCTTTGTTCCTCCTTAATCCCTGCTCTCTGCATGTCAGGTGTCCATAATGCTATCAAATTTTTAATGTGCTCTAGGGATAGGGGTACTCAATAGGTGGACCGCGGGTCAAATCTGGACCTCCAGACACTTTTGAAAGGACCCCAAAATCTTTTTATTTACTTATCATTATTGCTGTTATTTTTTTTTTAATTATTTTTTCTGGTGTCTGTCTGGACCTTGACTATACCTTGACCCAGAAATTGGGACCTTGACAAAAAACAGACTACCCCGGCTCTAGGAAGTGACACTGGATCACTGCCATCTGTTCTACCTTTCTGATCCTATCTCTGACATCAAAAATACCCCTTTAAAATAAATTTAAAAAAAGAATCCATGTTCTTTCTGTTCATCTTCTCTTAACGTTTATCCACCTGTTTTTTAGACTGATGCCTTTGTGCCATCTGGGAGACAGGTGTGGTCCTGTGGCTAGAGCAGGGCATTGGCAGTCAGGGCTCCAGAGTTCTATTCTTAGTTCTGCAATTGACAAGTTCACTTTTGACCAAGTCACCTAACCTCTGTGTGGCTCAGTTTATCCATCCCCAAAATGGATATGGTATTTATTCTACCTCCAGAAAGGGTGTTGTGAGGCTTAGCTAATGCAAGTTTGTAAAATGTTTTGCTTTGAGAATCTCTGATGACAAGCACTATACGGTATAAGTGAAAAGCATTATTGGGCTTGATCTGTCTTCTCCCTGTAACTTTTTACAGATGAGGGTCTTGCTTTCATGTATTCTGCCTTCTTTGTAACTCCCTTCCCCTCCCTCTAAGCTGCTTGCCATCTTAAATTTTTTTTCTTTCACTTAAACCAGTCTTTCTAAAGCAGGGGTTCTCAAACTGGGGGTTGGGACCCGTCAGGGGGTCGCAAGGTTATTACATGGGGGGTCGCGAAATGTCAGCCTCCAGCCCAAACCCCACTTTGCCTCCAGCATTTATAATGGTGTTAAATATATAAAATGTGTTTGTAATTTATAAGGGGGGGTCACACTCAGAGGCTTGCTATGTGAAAGGGGTCACCAATACAAAAGTTTGAGAACCACTGTTCTAAAGCATTGTGAGAGTGTGTTAAAGCCGCTATGTAAAAATAAAACGCATTCTAGGTCTTCATTAGTCTAGTGAAAGAGATGAATTCTGTAATATCTGTTCATACCTAGAAGCCTAGATGCTTGTTTTGACTCTTTCCCACTTCTTCTGCCCCCTTTCATTGAAAAGTTGTGCATTACTGGGTCTTCAGTAAGGCAGTGGTACTCTGTCTCAGTTACATTTCATCTCACTTAAAAATCTCCATCTCTCCACGCTAACAGCTGTTTTGGACCTCTCTGGTTATTGGATACTTAGGAACTATGTGACCAGGCACTGTAGTGCTTTGCCTGATGTTGCCCAGAAGCTTTCGACTTCACATTTTGCAAGTTTCTTCCTAACCAATATCTTTGGATTGGCCTCTCTTTTACAGGTGCTCTTCTTTGGATTTGGGTGGCTGTTCTTCATGCGCAAGCTATTCAAGGACTATGAGGTGAGAAGGGGCTGTTTCATTCAAACTGTGACTCTACATCTTACAGTGAAGCTGTCACATTGAAATCTAGTTCATTTAATAAAATCAGTAAAAACCAGCTTGGGGTACTAGTTCCTCCTTTCAGCTGTATTTTTGTGGTTTTACAGTTACATTTTCCTGTTCTTAAAAAAGAATGTTTTCCCTCCCCTGTTGCTATTTGAAAAACCCACCTAGATAACAAGGGAAATGGACAATACTGGGGGAACAGTGAAAGTTATCATACACAGTGCTGTTAAATATAAACAAATTGAAAATGTAGGAAATATATATTTATATATATTCCTCATCACTTTTGGTTATACTCACCGTGGGTGTTCCTCATAACAGTCGTAGGTAAAAAATTTTCACACACAGACATTATTTTTAAGTTGATAGTGTCCCTTGAATTTAAATTTTGGAAAGCTGTTAAAAAAGGACAGTGTGACTGGATTGTTAGGAAGAAGCCATTGGGGAATAAAATTGTGACAGTGTAGCAAAATAGGAGGGATATGAGAGAGAGTATTGTGTAGGCTACGAATGGCCAAAGTGCAGGCCAAATGTAGTCCCACAGAGTATTGCAATACGATCCATGGCTTCCCATGTCTATAATTCAGAGTTTGGGCCAGCTGAGAGTACAGGGCCCAGCAAGTGATGCACCATTTTGATTCACGTGGCCTGATGCATTGTATACTGGAGCATGTAGTCTTTCTACGTACAGCACCTCTGTCTTAAGTACAAAGGCAGCTACAATCAGCTCAATGTTGTACAAACTGGATGTAATCCTCTGGCTCCTTGCAAACTGCCAGTTTATCCCCCTGTTTTGGCAAGGTCCAGGCACCTCAAGTGTAGACCCTGTTCTGTGCTGAGGCACCTCATGGTTTATTTCCCCTGTCTGATATGTACCTGGCCAATACCGTGTGAGGATGGAAGTGACTCCTGTCTCGTGTTTGCTCCATCACAGGTGCGGCAGTATGTGGTGCAGGTGGTCTTCTCTGTGACCTTCGCCTTCTCCTGCACCATGTTTGAACTCATCATCTTTGAGATCCTGGGGGTGCTAAATAGCAGGTAGGTATGGGGGCTACCACACTTTCCTAGATAAAGGCCTGGCCTTCGTTTTATTCTCTAGCTACTCTAGTACTATTTCTGAGTTAATTGTCCCCATATCAAGGAAAAGCTGTAGGCAACATTATGAATAGCTCAGTGAAGACATCTGAGCAGCAGTGTCATTCATATGATTGAGCATGAGGCTGGAAGCCAGGAGCTGCTGAGTCCCATCCAGTCTCTGCTACCAGCTTGCTCAGGGTCCTTAGGGCAAGTCACTTATCTTCCTGCCTCAGTTTCTCCATCTATAAAATAAGGATTCTGTTTATACTATTTCCCTCAGGGGTGTTGTGAGGATTAATTCAGATAATGTTTGTGAAGTGCTCTGTAATTATAAAGAGCTACAGAGAGTATTTGCTCAGTGCTTGATTGTGATGAAAACAGCAAATAAGATACTATGTTAATTGAAGAGTAAGAATGATACAACAGTAACTATAAATCGATGATACGTTCGCACCTTATAATCAGTATTGCTCGACTAATCTAAAATGACTGAAGACATGGACTGAGGGATTCCATATAAAAAGAGAGTTCAAAGTATTAGGCTTACTTCAGAAAGGAATAGAAAAAGAGGATATTGAACAGAGGAATATAGAAGCTGCCGGCTGGGTGCTCCGACTTACCTTTTCCCATGATACAAGAATAAGAGTGCACTCAAGGAAATTAAAACGCAACACATTTAAAATGGATAAAAGGAAATCTTGATTAGATAGCCCATTGCTGTGTTCTGGTATGCCAATTGCTTTTTTATGCACATTTGTGAGCTCTAGAGTAAGGTCCAGTTTGGGGTGTCCTAGTGTGCTGCTTTTAGGCGGGTGTTATCTAGTGCAACTTAGTCTGAAGGGGAGGGGTGAGATGTGTTCAGCTTTAAGAGAAAATCTTTGCATTATGATCAGGCCCTGACCAATCTTCTGATTCCTTTTCAGTTCCCGGTATTTTCATTGGAAACTGAACCTGTGTGTGATTTTGCTCGTCCTAGTCTTCATGGTGCCTTTTTACATTGGCTACTTCATTGTGAGCAATATTAGACTATGTGAGTATGCAGATTCACAGCAGTGAGATTGCTAGGTTTGAGAATTATGCCTCACAATGGGGGACAGGCCCCTTTCTCTTTGAAAGATGTCTCATTTTTCTCCCTACTCTGGCAGTTCTGACTGGGTAACTCCTCTTTACCTGTCTCTGAAAGTTCTCAGGACTTCCAGTGTGACAGACTGTTCACTCTGGAAGTAATTAAATCAACCGTTGGCCCTTAATACTTTAAACAAGAGGGATCATTAAAAATATCGGTATTCAGTAAATTGTCTCACTACATAAGAGCTGATTATTATTTATTTCTTCTTGCTCAACATCAGCAACTGCTATTTCGGTTCTTCCTTTCAGCCATGTTTCTGCCTCTTCACCTTTCTTTCTTTTAGCTTTGTGTCCCCCCCCCCCCCCCCCCCCCGCCCCATCTTCCTCTTTCTTGCATTTGCTTGATTTTCAATCTTTGTTTATATTGAAGCTGATCGGTAAATGTAAAGCACCAAATTCTAGTCCCAATACCTCTCTGGGCTCAGAGCCCCCACTAAGCAGGTTGGGAGACATTCTGCATGATACCTGCAGATGATATTTTTCTTCATGTTTTCTTCCCTTTCTCAGTTCTTGGAGGTGATTGGTGCCTGTTGGTAACATTATTGGAATTTGTTGCTTTACTATTTGCAGGTCAGTTGGTCCTTAGAGCCCTTGCGTTGACTGTCTTGTTTTGGGGGGAAGTCAAATGACACACGGAAGCCTACTTAAAGTAGTCCTCGCTCTTCTCCCCAACCCTCCTAAGATGAGGACTCAAGCTCCTCATTGGCTGACATACCTGTCTGCTGCTGCTTACTCTCCTATATGCCAGTCCTTCCCCAGCCTTAGCTGCTGATGTTCACCATCTCTCTGTTGTTACAGCTTAGAGTGGAGGGTGGGGGCACTGACTGGGATGAAGATGAGGTTCCTGGCAGAGGACATGTGTAGTGGGTGTTGACCAGGTCACACCTCCTAGTGGCTAATGACTCTCTCTCCTCCCCACCCCAGAATCCTAGAAACTGTTCAGTTCTTAGACAATGGGCAGTATTCTGTGCTGACTTGCAGCCTGCGCAACCCAATTGACTTTAGCGCTTCCATTACCTCTTTCCCGCTGTGTGTTCTTACTACTTAGCCTCCAGTGTCTTCCATTTCTCCTGCAGGTATTTTTAAACTCAGAACTTTGATCTGCTCATTAATCCTTGTATTTCTTGTAATATTTTCCAGAAGCATTGTTAATTCTGACAGTGTTTTGGGTTCCCCAGCTGCATTCTTCATTGATGGATTTAAACATTCCCTCCCATTGGCCTTTAATCACAAGATTGCTTAATTTCTTTTGGAAAATTTGTTTGTTTAAAAATATTTTTAATTAACAAGCATTTCTTGTGATCAGAGGTCAGGAAAAGCTTATAGTTACAAATCATAAAGCCTGGGTCACATATGAGCACACACCGACCCTGTCAGTTGTAACACTTTCTAACCCAATCTTCTGTGTGCATTCACAAGTAGGCCTGGGGTCCTCCAACACTAGGGTCCCCTCACCCTCTCCCCTGTACAGCAGAAGGGCAAGATGCAGTCCACAGACTCTTCCAAGTGCAGGAACTGTTCCCTTACAGCAGAGGTTCTCAGCCTGTGGGCTGCTTGCAGCCCAATCAGCACACAGCTGTGACCTATTTGACATCCTTAGGGCCATACGAGTAGTTTATATATTGTGTGGCTGTGGCCTACTTAGATATAGAGAGCTGCATATGCAGCCCACAGTGGTAAATAGGTTGAGAACCACTGCCTTGCAGCATGCTACAGGCCCTAGCCCTGCTAATGGGGGAAAGAAGTATCAACAGAAGTGGAGTCAGGGCTCTGCCCTACCCCTGCCCAAGTTAGAACAGCTGATCATGCATATTGCATCTCCTTAAGAGATGTGGCAGCATGTGTCGTCCCAGTGTGTGCGAGCTTCAGGATCGTTTATACCTCCTTGAGGAGCTGGCTGTCCCAGAGCTCCCAAAAAGAGGATTCATTGCATTACTCCTTGCTCTTGACTATGCCTGTCAGGTGATTGAGCCATTGAGAGTTGGCCAGTTTCATAAGAGTTACAGTACTAGATACTGCTAGCACAGTAGCAGTGCTAGATTGCTCCTGTTTTAATCATCTCTACGCAACACAATCTTGAGACCAATGTAGTGATTCTGCAGCCTTTCATGAAACCTAGACACAGGAACTTCCTAACAATGCCTGTTTTCTCTCCCCTTTTCTCAGTGCACAGACAAAGGCTGCTCTTTGCCTGTGTTGTTTGGTTGACATTCATGTATTTCTTCTGGAAACTGGGAGATCCATTTCCTATCCTCAGCCCAAAACATGGTGAGTTTTCATATGTATGTTTCTTTCTTTCTCCTCCTCCTCCTCCTTTGAATAGATAGTGCTTCAGCATTTCACTGTCTGGCTCTTGGCAACTCTGTGAACTGAAGTACATTCCATAGCTGGTTGCTTGCTCCTGAGAATAAGCTCTGAAAGTCAGGAAACCCCCATGAACCTTTAATGTCACCACAACACAGGTCCAAACAACTGGACTACCTAATTCATTTGTATTGTTTTCCCTCCAGAAAACAGCGGAAATATAGCAGGTCAGGAAGTCCTGGGTGAATCTGGAATCCAGAGGAACTTAACATTGCTTGCATTTTGCGGGGGGCAGAGTCCCCAAAATGTAAGACCTAAATGTTGACCACCATGTTTACTCTTTCTTTTCTTGCGGGTGCTAAAGCAAGTCCATGGAAGAAGAGAACTTAGAAAAATCAACACCCATTATTGAATAGTCAGTATTGAATTCTCGAGTCCTGATTTTTGTTACCATGTTGTTCTCCAGCTCCTTTTGAAATGAGTGAGGATTCTGTGCACAGAGGTGGTTGCAGAATGAGACCTTAAATGCTTAATGGATGAATTCTCCCTCATTTGATGAGCCCCAGCATTGAAGGAACCCAAGAAGAAAGGAGAAATTAACAGGCTGGCCTGACCCTATAACAGCTGAAAGATTTCACCTGTGATTCTAAAACATTTTTTCTCGCTTAGGCCTGGTCTACACTGGGAGGGAGGGATTACTTCCCTGATTACTTCACATCCCACTGAAATCCACCTTTCTCTGGGATTGAATACAGTATCTATTCAGTAGTGTAGAGCAACATTGCATAGCAGTTTAAGGAACTGCAGGAAAGTAGTGTGTATCCCAGGGATCGGCAACCTTTGGCACGCGGCCTGTCAGGGTAAGCCCCTTGGCGGGCCGAGCTGGTTTGTTTACCTGCCGTGTCCACAGGTTCGACCGATCGCAGCTCCCACTGGCCGCGGTTCGCCACTCCAGGCCAATGGGGACTGCGGGAAGTGATGGCCAGCATATCCCTCGGTCGCCGCTGCTTCCCGCAGCCCCCATTGGCCTGGGACGGCGAACCGCTGCCAGTGGGAGCTGCAATCTGCCGAACCTGCGGACGCGACAGGTAAACAAACCAGCCCGGCCCGCCAGGGGCTTTCCTGGCGGCCCGCGTGCCAAAGGTTGCTGATCCCTGGTGTATTCATTTAAAGCTGCAGGAAGAGCTTGGTTTGGCAGAATGTAACCACCCAACTGGAATTTGGCCAGGGCACTGGAGCTGACCCTCTTAATCTATGTGTAAAAGTGTCATGGAATCATTGACCACTGGAAATTTCAAGAATCTCATTTTTTTACATCTGCTCTTAAAGACAACACTTACAGCCACATGGTGCCCCTTAGTACCATATGCAGGCATTGGCACAGAGAGACTATAAGAGAAGAGCGTCCTCTGTTGCATCACCAGTGTGATTAGTATTTACTTTAATTAGTTTTCCACTAAAACTTTTGTTGGCCCCCATTCTGACTTTATAAAATGAACACTTTGTATGTCACCTCTCTGATCACAAAAGGAAGAATGCTAGGAAAAGCTTGGGATATCTTACTTTAAGCAGTTGAACACGTCATTTTTAAAGGCATCTATATTTTACCTGCTCCTGTATATAACAGCATGTGGGGCAAAAGGCCAATGTATTGTTGCTCTCTAACTGGTGTAAATCTGCATGTGGCTGCACATGACTCTGTGGTCAAGCCCCTTTTGTTAAGGCCCTTTGCTATTGTTTTCATCATTTATTTCCCTTCCCTGAAGCATGAAATGTGGCCTGGCTCTCAGCCACCTCAGCTTCACAATCATATAAGCTCCAAATGTGCAGTGTATGGCTGCTGCTTTGTATCTCGTTCCCCAAAGGTGAGTGGTGTTTACTAGTCCATGATACCAGATTTCTATGAAAATCTGGTGTGTGGTTGTAGCTGGCAATAGAAAGTTGGGAAGGACAAATGAATCTTAGTATTTTAATCGCCTTGGTTGCAATGCAGAGCCTTAGTCTGTGTTTTATTGCAATGTTTTTAGTGTGAATTTAGCGCTAATAAAAAATGCCAGAGTGACAGTGTCACAGTTCATGGCAACTGCACCTGTATTCCCCCTCCATGGTCCCTTGAGGGCACCCATTACGGGCTCCTCAGCAGTCACCTCTCTTGGTGACCCATGTCTGTCTCTCTCCTGACCAGGGTTTTCCAGGCTGCACTGTTCCTTGCCTATACTGAGTTCCCCTGCAAGTCAGACTGCCTAACCAGGCCAGAGTCTGCTCTTTGCTCTCTCTTCAAATGCTATGAACAATGTAATTGCCAGCAGTTGTAAGTTACCACGCAGCACTTTCTAAGCACTCGTGTGTATTTTTAAGGTGAACGCATAACAGAGAATATATATAAAAACAATAAAAGCTCCTATATACATATTAAAAGCTTACCAGCGCTCACCCATGAGTCTTATGGGGCCTCAGTAGGCCAAAGACCTTCCTACCCCTGCCAGGAAGACTGGTGTCCCCCTTAGACAGCAGGTCCTGTCTGTTTGCTGGATCAGAAGGAAGACCCTGAGTCAATTTAAACTCAGGCTATTTATCCCAAAGTCCTTTTTTTTATCTGTTGGTCTCTGGAGAATCCAGTCTGGAACAGTATATGTGAGCCTCTCTAGGTGGTGGTACCTCTCTGGAGGTGTTTGAACCTGAGTGAATTTGCCCAATTACCACACAGTGTACAAGGAGCTGAGGCAGCCCTGCCTCTTGGAGTAGAACACGATCATACTTAAACCATTCATGTAAAACAGTGGACCCCAAAGGTACTGCTTGGAGTTGTAATATCTCCCCCATGAAGATGTCACATACAATCCTGTTTCACAATAATACTTAAATGTAATGCCATAAGTCTTTCAGGAATATTGCAGGAAATTGCCATATATGTTACAGATAGCACCTCTGGTAGTCTCTGTATCCATGAGATGGATATAGCACAGCCAGCATCAGCAGCAGCTTCTCTCTACCCTAACCCCATGCCCTATAAGCACGTGTCAGATCTGATGTGGAGGGATCACTTCTACAAGAGAGGGGCCAGTTTTGATCTCTGTAGTCTTGTCAATTCTTGGTCTCTTTGCTGAAAATGATACCCTTGGTGCCATACATGCTAGTTGTAGGAGTGGGCTTTGTGACATGGACAGATGTCTGCCAGAAAGTAAACTAAGACCACCAAGCAGCCATCATATGACAAAAATTGGTCACTTCTGGGCTAGTGATTTAGAACGAAAGGGTAATGTACAGCCCATCCCCAGTCTCCTACAGACTCTGTTTAGCCTTGGTTTCCTGTCCTGTTTTTAAACCTGAGAGTTTCACATACTTCCCTGGGAGAGCATTCTCTTCCTCCTCTCCCCACCCCCTGCCTGTATACACTTTGAATCACCTCTGGTACCTGGACTCTGAAGGCAATTAGTTTGGCTAAGTAATTGAATGAGTACTATAGTCTTTTATGAGGACACCAAAGTGTAAAGAAGTACAGTAAAAGCAACCCCTTACTTACATTGTCTTCTCTTTTTCAGGAATCCTGTCCATAGAGCAGCTCATCAGCCGAGTGGGTGTGATTGGAGTGACACTCATGGCTCTGCTTTCTGGATTTGGTGCAGTTAACTGTCCGTACACATACATGTCCTACTTTCTCAGGTAACCACAGCCTCTTGGAATTTTATTCTGTACACTCCTTGAGATTTTTTCCTTCTTCCCATGTGTGCACTCTCTCAGATTTCCCTAGGACACTGCCCAGGTTTGGTCCTGGGCCTTCCTTTCCTGTCCCCCCAAGCCTGCTGATTTTAGCTGTCCCATCTACACTGCAAGACCCCTTCCATCACTGATGTATGCTGTCCTCACATAGACTCTTCAGTTCCAATTTGTTTGTCCCACATGCTTTTCCTTGTTCACATTCTCCTTGGAGTGGAGTACCAAGGCTAATGGAGTATTGTGTATATGTTACAGGAATGTGACAGATGCAGATATTCTAGCCCTGGAGCGCCGTCTCTTACAAACCATAGACATGATCATCAGCAAGAAGAAAAGGTGAGGAGAACAGAGCAGAGTCAAGATACTTTAATACTGTTGGGGTTAGCAGATTGCAGGGATACGGTGTTCTTGGAATAGCCAAAATCTTGGCTGTCAGGAGTTGTTAAGTAGTTGCATAACTGTGTCAGATAAGATTCCTTGCTTTGGTGAAACAAGTGTCCTGAAGGGGTTAGAATGGTGTATTGTAGCAGTCATTTCATTGCTTGAAACAAAATCTGTTCTGTTCCATTACAGGCCTAGACCCTGAACTTCCCAAGGTCCCTTCCAGCTGCACATTTTTAGGATAGGGAGGAATTAAATAGTTCGAGGTTCTTTGTTATTGGAGAACTTCTCTGTGCTGTGCTGGGTGTCACAAGGGCCAATATTTTGAGTTGGGAGAGAGGGGTGCTTTAGGTTAAAATAATTATCAATGACCTTGAAGAGGGCGTGATGCCAAATGTGGCTCTACTGGCTGCAGATACAAAAAAGGGGACCAGTAAACACAGTGGAATCATAGATTGCATTGACAATGCTATGAAAAGGTTTCAGCTTAGGGTTGGAAAAGTGGCTCATGCATTTCAGTGCAGTGAAATGTTGAAGTAATGAGGCTGGGAGCCAGCAGTGATTATAGAGATTATGTTGTAGTGTAAATGGGAGCATGAGGGACAATATACAGCAGCTGCTTTTATATTTGAACCAGTTCTTGAAGTCTTGTACAGATGGTCCAAAGCATCAAACAGTCCCATCCTGTAATGGCTTTACCTGATTCTGCTTTATGAAAGCTTGTGTCACAGCCCTGTAATGACTACCAGAGTGCAACAGTTCTCAAACTTCACTGCACCGTGACCCCCTTCTGACAACAAAAATGACTACATGACCCCAGGACCAAAGCCTGAGCCTGCCTGAGCCCCACCACCCCAGGCAAGGGGGCCAAAGCCAAAACCCAGGCAGTGAGGCTTGAGCTTTGGCTTCGGCCCTGGGTTGTGGGGTTTGGGCCTCTGCCCTGGGCCCCAGGAAGTCTAATGCGAGCCCTGGTGACCCCATTACAGTGGGGTCCCGACCCATAATTTGAGAACTGCTGCCATAGAGCATTGCTGCATTCAGACCAGTCCTCACAGCTCTGGGGAGAAGGCAGTTGTACAATAACAGAGGTGCTCCAAAGGAGAGAGGCATTTGGTGGGTTGTGTGGTCACTGAAAGAACATAAGAACCGCCATACTGGGTCAGACCAAAGGTCCATCAAGCCCAGTATCCTGTCCTCTGACAGTGGCCAATGGCAGGTGCCCCAAAGGGAATGAACAGACACGTTATTATCAAGTGATCCATGCCCTGTCACCAAATCCCAGCCTCTGGCGAACAGAGGCTAGGGACACCATTCCTGCCCATCCTGGCTAATAGCCACTGATGGGATCTATCTTCCATGAATCTGTCTAGCTCCCTTTTGAACACTCTTATAGTATTGCCCTTCACAACACCCTCTGGCAAGGAGTTCCAGAGGATGACAGTGCGTTGCATGAAAAAATACTTTCTTGTGTTTGTTTTAAACCTGCTACCTATTAATTTCATTTGGTGGCCTCTTGTTCTTGTATTATGAGAAGAAGTAAATAACACTTCCTTATTTACTTTCTCCACACCAGTCATGATTTTATAGATCTCTATCATATCCCCGCTTAGGCGCCTCTTTTCCAAGTTGAAAAGTCCCAGTCTTATTAATCTCTCCTCATACGGAAGCCGTTCTATAACCCTAATAATTTTTGTTGCCCTTTTCTGAACCTTTTCCAATTCCAATATATCTTTTTTGCGATGGGGTGACCACATCTGCATGCAGTATTCAAGGTGTGGGCGTACCATGGATTTTTATAGAGGCACTATGATATTTTCTGTCATCTTATCTATCCCTTTCTTGATGATTCCCAACATTCTGTTTGCTTTTTTGATTGCCGCTGCACACTGAGTGGATGATTTCAGAGAACGATCCACAATGACTCCAAGATCTCTTTCTTGAGTGGTAACAGCTAATTTAGACCCCATCATTGCATATGTATAGTTAGGATTATGTTTTCCAATGTGCATTACTTTACATTTATCAACATTAAATTTCATCTGCCATTTTGTTGCCCAGTCACCCAGTTTTGTGAGATCCTTTCGTAGCTCTTCACAGTCTGCCTGGGACTTAACTATCTTGAGTAGTTTTGTATCATCTGCAAATTTTGCACCTCACTGTTTACCCCTTTTTCCAGATCGTTTATGAATATGTTAAATAGGACTGCAATGGCCTTATTGTCTTTGAGTGCTCCTTTAGCATCTCGATCGTCCAGTGGCCCCACTGGTTGTTTAGCAGGCTTTCTGCTTCTGATGTATTTAAAAAATTGTTTGCTATTACTTTGGAGTCTTTGGCCAGCTGTTCTTCAAATTCTTTTTTCGTCTTTTTTAATTATATTTTTACACTTCATTTGCCAGAGTTTATGCTCTTTTCTATTTTCCTCATTAGAATTTATCTTCCACTTTTTAAAGGATGCCTTTTGCCTCTCACTGCTTCTTTTAGCAGTTGTTGTTTAACCACAGTGGCTCTTTTTTGGTTCTCTTACTATTTTTTTAAATTAGGGTATACATTTAAGTTGAGCCTCTATTATGTTGTCCTTAAAAAGTTTCCACGCAGCTTGCAGGGATTTTACTTTTGGCACTGTACCTTTTAATTTCTGTTTCACTAACCTCATTTTTGTGTAGTTCCCCTTTCTGAAATTAAATGCTACGGTGTTGGGCCGCTATGGAGTTTTTCCTGCCACAGGGATGTTAAATTTAATTATATTATGGTCACTATTACTAAGCGGTCCAGCTATATTCACCTCTTGGACCTGATCCTGTGCTCCACTTAGGACTAAATCAAGAATTGCCTCTCCTCTTGTGGGTTCCAGGACCAGCTGCTCCAAGAAGCAGTCATTTAAGGTGTCAAGAAACTTTATCTCAGCATCCCTTCCTGAGGTGATATGTACCCAGTCAATATGGGGATACTTGAAATTCCCCATTATTATTATTATTAATATTGAGTTTTTTATTTTAATAGCCTCTCTAATCTCCCTGAGCATTTCAGAGTCACTAACACCATCCTGGTCAGGTGGTCTGTAATATAGCCCTACTACTATATTCTTATTTTTCAAGCATGGAATTATTATCCATAGAGATTCTATCATACAGTTTAGTTCATTTAAGATTTTTACTTCATTTGATTCTACGGTTTCTTTCACATATAGTGCCACTTCCCCACCAGCACGACCTGTTCTGTCCTTCCGATATATTTTGTATGCTGGTATTACTGTGTCCCATTGATTATCCTCATTCCACCAGGTTTCTGTGATGCCTATTATATCAATAATGTCATTTAATACTAGGCACTCAGTTCACCCATCTTATTATTTAGACTTCTAGCATTGGTATATAAGCATTTTAAAAACTTGTCATTTTTTGGCTGTCCCTATTGCATGACGTAATTTAATGGGACTTTTTTTCATTTGACTGTTTCCCATCAAATCCTCCCTGTATTTTATCATTTTCCATCCTCTCCTCCTTATTAGGACATAGGGAATCTCCATTTATAGATCCTTCCCTGAGGGATGTCCAAACCACATGCTCCTCTGCATCTGTTGGCTTTCCCCCTGTCCTTAGTTTAAAAACTGTTCTATGACCTTTTTAATTTTAACCGCCAGCAATCTGGTTCCATTTTGGTTTAGGTGGAGCCCATCTTTCCTGTATAGGCTCCCTCTCTCCCAAAAGCTTCCCCAGTTCCTAATAAAGCTAAACCCCTCCTCCCTACACCATCGTGTCATTCACGCATTGAGACGCTGCAGTTCTGCCTGTCTAACTGGCCCTGCGCGTGGAACTGGAAGCATTTCAGAGAATGCTACCATGGAGGTCCTGGACTTCAATTTCTTACCTAACAGCCTAAATTTGGCCTCCAGGACCTCTCTCCTATCCTTCCCCATGTCGTTGGTACCTACATGTACCACAACCACCGGCTCCTCCCCAGCACTACACATAAGCCTATCTAGATATCTGGAGAGATCTGCAATCTTCACACCAGGCAGGCAAGTCACCATGCGGTTCTCCTGATCATCACAAACCCAGCTATCTATGTTTCTAATGATCAAATCGCCCATTACTAATACCTGTCTCTTCCTAATAACTGGAGTTCCCTCCCCTGGAGAAATATCCTCAGTGCGAGAGGATACCACAACATCATCTGGAAGGGAGGGTCCCAACTATGGGATGGTTTCCCTCTGCTCCAGTTAGATGTTCTCCTTCCCTGAGGCCTTCATCTACTGTGTCCTGGAAAGTCTCATCTGTGTACCTCTCTGTCTCCCTTAGCTCCTCCAGCTCAGCCACCCTGGTCTCCAAAGTCCGTACACGGTCTCTGAGGGCCAGGAGCTCCTTGCACTGAATCCATATATATGTCACCAGCCCATAGGGCAGGTAATCGTACATGCTGCATTGGGTGCAATAAACTGGGTAGCTCCCACTCTGTTGCTGGACTTCTGCCTGCATTCTCTTTTGTTTTTACTCCCAAAGCTTGTTTCGTTGTTGGTGCTTTGTTTTTGTCAAGTGGTGTTTTGACCTTTAAGTGCACAGAATGTTAGGTGTCTCTAGCCCCTGCTCACACTCCCCCTTTAAACTCTCTTGCCAAACTCCCCTGTTAGCAGCTCCTGTCCTCTGAGATTGAAGACTGCGGAGTCACATGATCTGGAAGAGGACATGGGAGGCTGACAAGTCACATGACTGAGACACCAGTTGAATCTTTATTTTTAATTCGTGTGAAATCCATTCTGTATTACTGAAACCTCAACAGCATGGCAGCTTGTTTGATTAGGACTGAATTCCATTCCTGAGCTGACTAAGATGTTTTGGAGCAGGATTGGTGATTGGGTGAATGGTAGGGGTGTGTCTCTGCACTGAATAAGTTTCACAATGCCTGCTGTACAAGGCATCTTTTTCTGAGAACTGAATCTTTTCTCTTTTCAGAATGGCAATGGCCCAAAGGACCATGTTCCAAAGAGGGGAAGTGCACAACAAACCCACCGGCTTCTGGGGAATGATAAAAAGTGTTACCACATCGGCCTCTGGCAGTGAAAGTATCCTTCTTCTCCTGTCCGTGGGGCTTCAGGCTAGTTCCCTGCTGAGTAGAAATGGGATTTAATTAGGAAAAAGGACAGGGAGGCCAGTGTTGTTAAGCATTTATATATCACACAGCTCTTCCCAAAGCATAGTGTAAGAAACACTTTATGCCCCAAAGAGCAAAGGGTTGGTGTAGGGAGAGTGTTGATGAGAACAAGATAGAAAGGAATCCTGTGAGAAGGGGTGGGGTGGGACTTGGGAAACAGTGGGAGTTACAGAAAGACAATAGTTTTTGCTAAGCATTCAGATTCAGCTCTCCCAAAATGCTTCAGGGGAGGGGCAGGGAACCTTACTGAGAGCCATATGGGTAGGGTTCTGGGCCAACAGGAAGGAGCAGGAGGGTATACATGGTGAGGAAAATTCTCCACAGGATTTGATAACCAGTCTGTAACTCCCAGCAGAAGTCCTGTAGATGGTGATGGAGTGCAAGTAACACAAGGAAGTTCTAGTGGAGATTAAGGTGTGCGGATGTTATAAAAACAAAGCAGCTAGTTTTTGGAAGAGACTTGGTTCCATTTGGTAGTGTGCACTCCTCTGCTTGTGATACAGAGATCAGTTATGTGATCCTGTTAAAGGTACCATGCTGCCCAGCATTGTTACAATGGAGTGCTCTGAAGATTCTATCATATGAGGGTTTTTGGAGCAGTTTAAACTGAAATTGTGTCTGTGCAGGGAGCCCAGGAATGGAGGAACCTCAGGGTATGTTTGTTTCCAGCTGATGTTAGAAACTTCTGCAGAATTCTACCCTTGACTCTTCTGGTTTGCCAGATCTGTCCCTTATCCAGCAGGAAGTGGATGCGTTGGAAGAGCTCAGTCGGCAGCTTTTCCTGGAAACTGCTGACCTGCATGCAACTAAGGTACATAGCAAAGAGCCAGATTGATAGTCTGGGAGAGGATGAGCAGAATAGACAGAAGTAATTTTAAAGTCATTCAGCTGGCAACAACGAAAACAGCAGCTGGTTTCTCAGCTTTGACACAATATTGGAAGAGTCTGTTTCTCAAATCTGGGGGTCAAATGGCAAGCTGTTTTCCCCAGTTCAGATATGCAGCGGAACATGTACCGGGCCTCAGAAAAGGCCAGCAATCCCAAACTGTGTTGGGAGAGTGGAGGGAGTAACCAAGGGGCCTGTGCTCAGTTCCCCTGCTAATAAGGCCCTGACTTAGTCTTTTTTTCTGCAGATTGGCCTCACAATGTACTGAAGTGATGAGTTCTTATGTTTTATAAAAATTAATACATGTCAGTGCTAAAATGTCAGGAGGTGGCATGGCTTAATGGAAGCCAGGAATAGAAGTTTGGAGAGCTGGGTTCTCTTTCCAGATCTTTATTAGCTGTGACACTTTGGCACGTCACTGGTCAGTGCCTCAGTTTCCCCATTCATAAGAGGAGCTACTGTTACAGCTCTCTTTCACATGGGGCTTGAGGTTCATTCATTAATGTAAGTGTTTGTAAACACTTGAATGGTGAGAGCTGTAGAAGGACAAAGTAATCATTGCTGTTTTTTACTGGTAATTGTTTAAAACTTATAAATTTGAAATTTGTGTGAACCTGAAAATGTTAAATGTATGGGTGGTTTTTGTTGTTTTTGTTCCCTTTCAGGAGAGAATAGAATACTCCAAAACTTTCCAGGGGAAATACTTTAATTTCCTGGGTTACTTTTTCTCCATCTATTGTGTCTGGAAAATCTTCATGGTACGTGAATGTTATATATTGTTGTCCATAAACCTCTTGCATGGAGGGTTACACCTTGCTTAGATTGTTTGATACATACGGGTAATGAGACTTTACACACAGATTCTTGCCTGCACCTTAAGAATATTCTTCCAGTTTCCTTTCATACGTCCTGCTCCTGGAAATTAGTTTTTGAATGAAATTAGCATCCATTTGGGATAACTGTTTCTTACTTCATTGTGTGTTTTCATACATTTTGTATACTCTCAGTTAACTCTATGGGACTGTTCTGTGATGAAATACAGAGCAAAGGACATGTATGTGTGTCACAGATACAGTTGTGCTGTGTATACCACATTCCCTTGAACTGATGCACTTGTCTCTCTCCTGCAGGCAACCATCAATATCGTATTTGATCGAGTTGGGAAGACTGATCCAGTCACAAGAGGAATTGAGATCACTGTAAATTATCTGGGAATCCAGTTTGATGTGAGAAACATTTAAAACCCCCACTCACATCAGTAATTGCTGTTTTATCTATTACTAACTGAACTGGTGGTGTGGGAGCAGCTGGTGGGGATTAATGGGGCTCTGAGAAGGGGCTTAGATTTCTCCACCAATCTGGGAGCACATCATTTTAACCATGTTTCTAGTGAAAGTTAATGCTGGAGGATGTCCACTATCCACACAATAGGCCTATTGCATGTTAGTAGCTCACCATGCTGCATACCCTGACCTGGAGGGAGGAAAGGGTCCTTTGAGCTTTCATGTCACGGTCCCATGAGATGCGAGCATTCCATTCACCCCCATCTTAATGGAGTTATTGCCATAGGTGGTTGTATATAACTCTCAGGCAGAGATTCATGGTTAGAGCAGAGAACTCTGAGCTGGATTTTTGTTTGTGGCTCTGCTATTGACTAATGTCCTTGGAGAAGTCACTTAACCATTATGAGCCTCAGTTTTCCAATCTGTAAAATTAGAATAATACCTGTCTTTTGGGATGTTGAACACTTCAATGGAGGGCACTATGGAAGTGGCTGTCCACAACGTGTCAATATGTGGAGGGGTGCAGTGGACAATGTGTGTGCACGTACACTGCGTGAATTTACAGTTCATGTGAATAGATCTCTGAGGACTTAGATTAGTATTTGTTAATAAGAATGGACAACGTACTCAGCTGTGAATAAGAGATGAATACAACAAGCATTCTTATTATTGTGAATAGTAATAAGTGTGTGCTTGCATAATTTGTATACTAGTTGGTTTGTGGCACATGATTACAAGTGAAACATGAAATGACTCCACCTCCCCGGGGGTGTGCTCCATTTGAATTAGGGCTTGTGTTTTTATTTCTGCTTATTTCAGCTTTCACTTTTTTCTTGTAAAGTGTTACTCTTTTCTGACGCTGTATCAGGGGCAGGCAAACTTTTTGGCCTGAGGGCCGCATCAGGTTTCAGAAATTGTATGGAGGGCCGGTTAGGGGAAGGGGTTGTGGCCTGGCCCCCACCCCCTCTCCCCCCCCCCCCCCCCCCGGACTCCTGTCCCATCCAACCCCCCCCGTCCCCTGACTGCCCCGGGAACCCCTGACTGCCCCCTGCCGGACCATCCAACCCCCCCTCATTCCTGACTGCCCCCCCCGGGACCCCTGCCCCATCCATCCATCCCTTCTCCCTGTCCCCTGACTGCCCCCAGCCACTCCATCCAACACCCCCTCCTTCTTGACTGCCCCCCCCGGACCTCTGCTCCCATTCAACCCCCTCTGTTCCCCGCCCTCTGAC